CAGGTCAAGTGGGTCAAATTTCGGGACAGAAGGTATAAATCGGGAATTTGGTTTTAATATCAGACACAATAGCTATAAAAAGCAGATTTTAGCCACTGTGGTCGCTATTAGTTATACTGGTATTTTTGACTGGGAATGTTACGGCAGTGGTTATATCGGAACCGAATTCGCTAGCAGTTTTTAAATTTGGTTTGTCGGAACAGGAACAGGAACTGGAATCGGAGGTGGAGGCAGAAAAGAGAGTTAAGGGCACGTCTAATAAAAATTAAATCACACCTTATTCGTCAAAAATATATTCGGTAAAAAACTGTCTTACCGTTACTGATAATTCGGCACTATGAACTGCATAAGTCATCTGAATCCAATATCTTCCACGCAATTGAGGGGAAGATCTTGCAAAGCAATCATTTCAGGGAGGTTCCACGCGCGACAAGTAGGTATAAACTTGTCCGTATGGGGCGCCACCGCCGCGCCGCTATCTATTACATACATCGTACATCTATTTTTGACACAATTTACAATGTGTTTTATAATTGTTGTTTAGGAGCGAATAATTTTTCGTCCAAGCATCGTTGCAGACTGAACTTTCTGGATAATATAATTCTGAAAATAGTAATAAATCTTATGAAATCACAACTCATGCACACCAAACAGCCCTTTAAAAAGCGGCATATACAATATAACAAGCACACATTCATGCATAAGCGAACGGTTACAATAACTCAAACCTTGATAGCCTAGATAAAATCTTTACATCGGACGTTAAAACGTCTAATGTTAACGTAACGTCAGTGGCGAAGCTAGGGCTCCAAACTAGGGCAAGCCCAAGCAAGATATGGTTTTGTTGTTTTTAGCAGTTTAATAAAAATACACCAATCTTGAGCTGTCTCCACTCTTTAGTTTCATATTCAGTGCTGACAAGGACGTGTTTAACAAAGCACACAGAAAGCATACTACCGCTAGATAGATTGTATGACATAATATGCAATTGCACACCTTCGGTGGTTTTGAAAAGAGCCGTTTGGGTTTGCTTGAGATATTTACAAACAATACAATACATGAACAAAGTACAAACAAACTATGTACAAAGTTAAAAAAAGGGATGCCTGGCAGATGTGAAACCTCGAAATTATATTTTAAGATATATGCATAAAAGAACAGATTACGACAGGAACTAGATAGTTATAATGAGAAGATAAAGCTTTGCTAATTTTTTACCATAAAATAATGACTATTTATTATAATTATAATTATTCATTTTCAATTCATAATAAACCGTACAAAATGATATTTTTAAACTCATATATCACTATAAATTAGCCGATAGCGTATTTGTGCCATCCAGCGTAATCTTTAGGTATCATCGTGAGAATCAACCAATTTTCGTTCGATAAAATGACTTTACGTATAGAATTAAGTAGATGGCGCCATTAAAATTTTATATACTGAAAAGTAGACAGAGAAACCTAACTGGAAATAACTAAATTGAGTACTATTCTTTAAAAACCTCAATACATTCTTCTGTATTCTTTTGATTTATTTAATTAAAATTTGGGCTTCACGTTAAAAAAAGATTGTAACACTTATTTCCTCTAAAATTAAACCTAGGTCTCATACTTTATGCTGCTGTTCAAATTGATATTTTTAATTCGTATGGTAATATTAATATTGAGTTATTAAACCTTTAAATACGCCTAACTTAATTAAACTTTAATACTAAAGAGTCCTGTACCTATATTTAAAGTATGAAGAAATGTTTATTGAATATTAAATTTCATTTTTAAAGATTTTTACCTTTTCTTCGCCGATTAGCACTTCAACACACTTATATTCATCACAATGAACATTATTATCCTCCCATTTTCACTGAAAATCTTCGAAAAAGCATAAATTTTTAACAAACACAACAAAAACAAACATAAACATTGAAATGTGTAGTGAACTTGCATACGAGGGGCCCGCAACCACTTCGCTAGTCGCTAACGCACTCCTAAACAACTTCATGGCAAAGCCAGGCTTGTTGGCAATAGTAATTGCTATATAAACATTACGTAGTTATATTTCATTATAGAATATTTTGCCATAGGTTAGAAAGAGAGCGATCGTCTTCTCGAAAGCCCCGTAAAAAGCCCACGCGAGTGAGGGAGACAACTAATCGCTCTATTAAAACTCACTTTATTACAGCAGCAGTATCGCCACAGAGTACCTTTGTATTCACTTCGCTCTATTCTCTTATTCACGTGCTCATTAAAAAAAAAGTAATAATACCTATAAACTTATCGCTAAGGAAATACAAGGTCATCGGTCGACATGTGTCGAACAGTGTAGTGCGCGGGAAAATTGAAATAATGAGTTATTTTATTAGTTGATATTATTGATTGATTCAGTTTTAATAAGGCAAGCCCGGCTTTTCGGCTTTAATGAAAGCTTCGCCACTGCGTAACGTATAATGTTAATGTTACGGTATTTATTGAAAACAACAGTATCTACAACCTATCGAAGAAATTGACTAGTGGAAGAATTTTCGCAGTAAGACTGACATTTTACTAAATGTACTTGTCTAAACAACAGCATGTAAGTTAGGTTCTGTACTATATATATATATATATATATATATATATATATATATATATATATATATATATATATATATTATGTCATTCTATTACTGTTACTAGTAATAGAATGAAATAATAAATGATCGTCCAAAAATGACATCGATGCATAGTCCAACAGGCTGATAGGCATCACACGGTGGGAGAGAAAAAAACGAGTTAACATTATTGATATCTGTATCTTGCCATGCCAACACGTTACGCGCAAAGTCTAAAACTTTGATATTTTGTAATTAGGTAATATATTTAATTTTGCTGTCAAAATTATCGATCGATATACAGACACACTTGGCAATACTAGTTTACGCAATCGGCACAGAATAAATAATAGTACTACGTACTATCGGTGTGAATTAACACGAACGCGAGCGAACACTACGAAAACATTCGGAATTAAATGATTTCAACACTAAAACTACTCATCTTATTTTGACCTACTTTTGCGAACGAAGACTAGCAACTAATTAAATACAGGCAACAGTATTCACCATCCTTTGAAACAAACTTAACATACGCGTTAGGTTCTCATTATTAGTCGGGAAATCCCCGAGGTAGGTTAGCATAACCTAACAAAGGCGTCTAATTATGTTTTTATTATGCGAATAAAGGATATTGCTATTTTGACATAAACTGGGTAATTCAAATCGGCAAACTATAAGTGGAAAAATATTGGATTGTGTAATATAAATAATTATATCTTTAATTTAGTTGGCTGACATGTTCATTCATCATACATTCACCAACTCTAGAAGTAATAATACCCAGTATTAGCTACTCTACGTTTGTGTTGGAAAAACGCAAACGAGGTTATCTGAGAGTAAGATATTCGAGGGTTAGTTACTCTGGAGTGACACGGTTCTTGGTCGAATCCGCCCTCTATTTTACGCTATCAGCGTATATGTAAAATAAAATAAATTCTCAAATTGTGCATCATAATAGAAATTATCGTACAATCTGCGTACGATAGTAATGTGATATTGTACATAGACACAATATTACATTACTATCGTACGAAGGCGAAATTATCGTTTTATTTGTCAAACTTATTATAAAAAAATTGACCTGTTTTTTATATAATTATAGGATAGGATGACAAACGAGCACACAGTCCACCTGTTGGTAAGTGGTTGCTGTAGCCCATAGACATCTACACCTATCCTCAATTACAAATCAAAATGCAGATGCGTTGTCATCCGTGAGGACTTAGATGACAAGCCTCGTTTCCAGTAAAAAAGATCTCCGGTTCTCCACACTCGCCATACGAAACACAACAGCATTAAGCTACAATTTTACGCTGGTATTCATTTATTGTTTTTGATTACCTACATTAGCAAAATAAAACATTGTTTGTTACGATTTTATGATGAATTCAATCACAAAGCTTATAACTAAAAATTGGTCAACTTAAAATAGTATTTTAAATTAACCATTTATTTCATACAAATTTTATTTGAATAATTATGATAGAATATAGATTAATATTAATTTTGGTTGTAACACGAATAGGTCGCCTCGACCGGGGAAGTACCACGCTCTCACAGAATACCAGCTTTAAATAGCAGCCTAGTGCTGCTATTTAGACCCTTTTTACTGGAAACGAGGCATTCCACCTTAGTCCTCAGGGGTGGCACATGAATTTTGATTCTTAATCGAGGATAGATGTAGATGTTTCTGGGTTATTATGAATTAATGAAATTACAAATGGAGCAAAGTCAGAAATTAAAAAAAAATTATAATTAAAACCGGGACGTGGACGTGAAAAGAAAGAAGACAATATATTTTTATTTTATAATGAAGCGACGCCAATATAATAAATATTGGCCTCGCTTCATTTAGCAAACTATATCACATTATTTGGAGGTGAAATAGATGTCAATTAATTTATTGCATTTTTGTTGCCATTCCTTATTTTAAAGATGTCTGAACAGCAAAGTATGGTATATAAATGAACAAGCTTGTTTCAAAATAAGCATGGTTTATAATTTTCCTCACATACCGAAAAATTTAAATCCACATTTTTTTAAGCTCAGCATAGAAATTGTCATTTTCTGAGACTGCTGGCTTGCATTCGATCAAGAATCGGGTAACTCGCCTACGGTGAAATTTACAGCGAACACTTAGCACCTGAGCTACCATAGCTCACTGCATCCATATTCGGTGTCAAAATTATCATATATTATTTCTCTTAAAATAAAAATAAAAAGTAAATAAAATTCAGTGCTTTGTAAATATGTTCCGATTCATCAATAATTTTGTGACAGAATACGTTTTGTATAAAGAACATTATTTGTGAATGATTAAAAATGTCTTATTAGGTATCAGGTACTCAGTGCCGTATATAATATAGCGTACTAGTTATGTAATTTTAGTGTACTTTATTTGTAGGGGAGAGGAAAGCGCGGGCAATGCTTGTGCGATGGCTGCGTCGGCGGCGGCGCCGGTGACGTGGCGCGGCACCAACGACAGCGCCTCGGAGTACTGTCGCCGCGGCAGCACACCCGCTACCTACGGACGGTACCAGCGTAACAACTCCACGGCCGCACCCTACGCCACGCCGCCGTCCAATGTTGACAGGTACGATTCACGCACATTACACAAATATACCCCATGCTGATCTGTTAGTAAATTTATTTTATTAAAGTCCTTTATATTAAGGATGGGCCGAATATGGATTTCACCGACGAATATTCGGCCGAACGTTCGGTAAATTTTTTACCGAACCGAATATTCGGCCGAACATTATTCGGCAGGATTACCGAGGTACCTAACCAATTTATGTCGAAACTTGTTACCGTAAAGCGCGCGGGATTACCGCCAGAGCCTTTTGCTCCCCCGCCACACTTGACATGTTATTGCATCATCTAGTACTGAGCAAATTGCCGGCACATGCTTATGTTTTGACTATTTTTATGAGAAAAAAAAGTATTTTTAGTGATAATCGATAAGTATGTGATGAAAATGAGGGCAGGAGATCTACTATTTGGACCAATTTTAGAGAAATTGACGACTGTAATGTAATGTTTCTTTGTTTGATTCCAAAAAAAATTTTATCAAACTTTCTATTTACTATAATCGGAAATAAATCTACAGTGCCTCAAAAACATATTGTTATACAAGTAGATTTAACCCATAAATAAATATACTTTCAACAGTAAAATGATGAAAGACATGGCATTACTCAATTCGTACATATCCATACGGTGGATACTTTGAGTCCCTACCACTTTAACGAATATTCATTCGGTGATTTAGCCGAATATTCGGTAAACCTGCCGAATATGACGAATACCGAATATAAAACGAATATTCGGCCCATCTCTACTTTATATGTAAATAATTTTAATTATAATTTTTGTTATACACCCTGTTGGTGATATGAAGAGATGAGATATTTCATTGTTTCGATTATATTTTGAATATAAAATCAACTGCAGTGTAATGTTTGTGATTAAGTAATAGATTATTTAGCTCTCGTTCATCTTTGAATAGTCCGTTAAATATACAGCAAAAGCACCAATGTTAGCTTTGCCTAGCGTAAAGAATTTGTTGTTAAGGCGACACCGTGAAAAAATGCACCTCCTTTCATCGAATAGTATAAAAGACTATGACACCACTACGGAAAGTAAAATTTTGATATAGGTAAATTCATGTCTTTATCTTGAATTTGATTGTTCAAAAACACGATTGTATAATTTTGACTCGATCATAATTATTTGCGAAAACACCTCTAAAAAATCACTATAGTTGAAATTACAACGAAATTACTTAATCTATATGCTTGGAAATCACTCAAATATATTCATAACATAAATATTCATAATTTACTTGCTCATTATTTTGATTACTTAAATCAATAATTTTTTAAAAATTATTTTAAAGTTTCTGAGAATTTCTAAGCGCTTTTAATCGTCGCGGGCGCTACGCTATTTTAGACCTTATGACGGCGTTTTTTCAAGTTTTTATAGAAATTATGTATTCACTCGGATCAGTACGGCGATAGCCTTTCGATGTGTCGTCTTAACAGTATCTAATCGCTACGCCTTGCAGACGCATATTGATCGCAAACCTGTTTCCAAATTTAAAGCAATATTTGCATAAAATATATTATGTAGCATATTTGTTTATATAACATTCATCACCTCACATTATAAAATAGTTAAAAATATTATATGTTATATTGAAAACACATTATTATGAAACTAAGTCTTACGGATTTTATCGCGTATAATATTAATTTATTTTAAACTCCCGACGCGACGTTACGAGCACTTTACAGCACTCATGGTCAGAGGGGGAGAGGGACTGCGGTGTTTGACGTCCCAATGTCGTAGTTAACCACGGCTGCCTTCATTTTAAAATTATTTTTGGTCCAATTTACGTAGAATGAGCTTTAAGCTCAGCCCCTAAAACTTTGTTTCATTTAAATGTGTAGTGTCCGCGTAAACATAAGTAATCATTATGTTAAAACATTGTAGCTTTGGCTTTCACCGTAAACAAGAATAGTCTGTTCTATTCACCGCACCTTCACTAAAACTGATAAATCTTTTTATTGGTGGTAGAGACATTCTGCAGCTATATTATGGTTGTGGGACGAATGTGTCGGCTCGACCGGGGAAGAACCACGATCTCACATAATAGCAGCGACATGCTGCTGTGTTTCGTACGGTGATAGTTCTGGAGACCATTTTTATTGGAAAAAAGTAGGGTATTTGATCTTAGTCTGCAGGGGTGACAACACATCTGCATTTTAGATGTAGATATGTATGGGCCACATCATCCACTCACCATGAGGTGGACCTGTGGGGTCTTGTCACGCTTATTCAATAAAAAAAAAACACAGATATTAATAGGGTTCGATTCCCTCAAATATTTGTTCTTTGTATTACTTTAAAATTTAGTTCTAGATAGATGGTTTATGTTCATTATTATCACATAAACACCTTGAGCTTTATGTAAAATGTATGTACATATGTATATAGTTTCTGTGGCACAGGGAAATCTAGTGTTGCTAATAATTTTAGTGGATTCGAAGCCTTATTTATTTTGTGCACGGCGGTGAAAGATAAAAAAATCCCCTAAGCACGTATTTGACACATAGCGTGGGGGTCTTTCCCCGCTCCAAGTTTGTAGGTTTGATTTTACTCATATTTTTTATTTGTTATGACAAATATTTTTATCGACAACAGAGTGTCACAATTATATGCCTATCACGTAAATGTTTTCATATAATTCACTCATCGAAAAAATGACGTACTTATTAAACGGAGGCTCCAAAACGTTGGCTTGGTAATGTTAACACGGATGTGAGAAAACATCTCCACATTGAGAAAATATTAAATTTACGTGACACAGGAAAAACAGGAATTCTAAGAATGAAAAAATAAAAACATAGTGATTTCTTATGTTTACGTGAACGCTACACATTGATTAAAACTGTTTTTACAGATTTTATCGTGTTTAACCCGACGGTTCGGGTGCTTTCCAGCACCCATGGTCACGAGGAACCATGCGTGCTAGAAATCACCCGAAACGGTGATCCGGGAAATCGGGAATTAAAAATCAAATAATTAAACGCGATTAAATCTGTATAAGTAGTTTTAATCAAAATAAAACATGATGAACTTTTGTTAGCTTTTATCTCAGAATAAGTAGGTACCTCCTACGCATTGCGGAAAACCTAAAATGAGAAAAATTATTTTAGTTGAACTCATAATGTTTGACATTTTATGTCATATAAAATCAAATAGCAGCTCAGTATCTTTGTCACTTTCCTTTCCTTTTACAAGGTTGTATCCCTTCCCTTTTCCATTTCATAGACAAAGCAATTTACATACTTGCTATTTGCGATACAAAAAACGTCGCTTAATGCATAGCTAGGCTATGACTTGAATTTAAGGATTTTGATTAGATTTACAACGAATAGTATATTCGAACACACGTCAAATACTGGTACTTCTGCGGGCTTACTGGCCGAGGAGCCGAATACTAGGCAAAAGTATTCTGCCAGGAAGGAAGTAGTGTGTTTATTCAGGGCATCTTTTCTCTGAAGCTGGCATTGTCTACGCGAAGAAAATGAGTAAACTCAAATGTAGAAAAATTTGACTTTCTGCAATATAATCTTCCACTTTAATTAACATAATTCAAGTGCATAGACATTATTTATCTAATATTTAAATTTTTTTATAATACAAAAGTTTATTATGTACGACTAATTTAATGATAATAAGAAAAATACATCACTATAAAATAAATCAATATTTTCATTTTACCAATCATCTGACTACAACTAAACATCTTACTACTTAAGTATTCAGTATTCGGGTGTATTCACTCGCATACTGAATACCTAAGTAGTACCATTGTACCTACGTAGATAGATATTTGGGTATTCGACTCAATAGAATAAAAGAAGCCGAATAGGCTGAATACTGAATAATAGTCGAATATTATCAATAAACGTAAATTACAGCTAGGGACATCTTATAACAAAAACGTAGTGGAATAATGCTTAATTTTTCACTATCGTGGTATGAGTATCATTGAAACGGTATCTAAAATTAATTTGCTAAATTTAAATTTTGGCAGTCGGTATAGGAATATAGTAAGAATATTTACCGGCAGAAGTTAGAAAGTAGCCAAATTATCTCCACCTCCATCCTACTTCATTAGCAAAATTAATTGTAACAATATAAGCAAGTGCCATGAGTAGAAATATTTTATATATTTAGGTTTGTTTAATTGACACCGGGTTTTAGGCTTATTGCTTTGCAGATCATATTGTCTCCTATTTTCTCGCTCCGCCGCAACTACCAATAAATTGATTAAGAACGTATTGTCTGTTTTCTCTCTGCTGATACATCATTAATTCTTTAACTTACAGCCTATCATAATTCTATTGTTGAACTTAGCTCCGACATTGTTTTTGCATTTTATCCATAAATCCTATTCCATAAATGAAGCTGTTATGTCCATCTACAAAGTGAAATCTTCTCATCATCCATCAAACATCATTTCAAACTATGTAAATTAATGCTAAAAAATAAACTCTTTTTTGTAACTTTTGTTTGCATCATTCCTCTACGCAAAGGTTGTCTGGAAGAAATCACTTTCAGAGTGATAAGACCGCCTATTGTACATACTTTAATTAGTTTTAACTGTATTGATGTTTCTGTATTGTGGTGTACAAAAAAGAATAAATAAATAAATAAATAAAACAAACGAATGAAGATGTTACGTCCAGTAAACAAGTTGAATGAAAGTGGCATAAATAGACATAACATTTCAGTCAGTGCCAAATTTGTAAAACTGAAGCATTTTTGTTGAGATAGAAAGTGTTATGTGCGACCACAATAAAACTTTATTTAAGAACGGAATAGAGTGCACAGGCGCGTGCAAAGCAATGTTGGTGCAGATGTCATCAAGGAAAATAACAACTAGTGAGACCACATGACCAGTAGACCACATGAGTAAAGAAACAGTACAGAGGCTAACATGGACTTACTCGAAAGGACTACACTACTTACTGGACCTGTCAACATGGTTACTTATTTTGCTAGTGTTGATACAGAAAGATA